TAATAAAGGTGATGGTTATTATTATTAGTATTTAAAATCGAAAAGAACCCGTTTCCTCGTATATTAACTATATTAATATTAATCGATATTAATTAGGTTAAATATGAGAAGTTATGTTGGAGGTATGTCTACATACATATATATAGCTTTAATATGGTAATATACTGTATATAGCAATAATATTGTGCACTTAAAAATACTTTTTTGTTCTTCCCCTGGCAGGCAACATTTCAGGCAGTATTGACTACTGATGGCAAATACTCATTTGTGATGATGAATTATGGGTATTTAGCCCCCACATCAATGTTTACACAGGTCAGAGCCCTTATAATGTAGAATATACATTATAATTCAATTAATACATGTTTTCTTTGACCTCTTAAAAAACGTTTGCGATAAATGTAATGTGACATTTTTATRTCTTTGTGACATGTACCTTTCAGGCTGGATATGACACAGTCAATTCCCCRTTTTACTTCACCATCCCTGGATCTTTTTCTAGTAGTGCAACTGGAGGCAACTCAGTTTTAAGCCAAAACAGCAATGTCAATGTACCTGGTCGCTGGGTGTTCCTTGTAGATCATGTAACAACAGGTAAGACCAGAAACAGTGAGTCATAAAACACKTCCTTATTCTACAAACAATCAATGTAATTAATAAGAATTGGATGTACACTGAACAGCTCTTCAGTTTTATTGCTGCACCTTCCTGTGTCCTCATGTGGTTCATCCATGTAGCCGGCCAGCCTTCCATGCATACAGTACATTCAGCTGCTTGCTGTTCATGGTTGTGAGGTTTATTTCATCTTGATTTCCATCTGTCACTGGCAAGTTGCCGGATACACCCYATAAAGATTGCAACCTATCACAGGGTCACATAGAGGCAAAAGCCTATTCACACTTGCATTAATTTAAAGCCATTTAGACTCACCAATTAAATTACTCTAAAATGCATGTTTGCCAACTTCTTTCAGACCCCAGAGGACACATTTTAACATCCTAAAAACTGAGTGTTTCATTGTTAATGTTGTTGATGGAGAATGTTCAGTTTTCAAAAAAAAAAAAAAGGAATTCCACTGACAGTGTAAAAGCAAACTAAGACAGCAAATACATTTTTTAGACAAAAATCTTTTGACATACAGTATGTTCAACATATCTACTTTCTTTCAGAATCCTGAAGAATCTCGCAAACTCTTTATCTTATAATGCAATTGATAGGATGGTGTTTGTAAAAGGACATAAAACCAGGTGTATGTCAAATTATGGGTACTCTATCAATTCAGTTGCATATTTGTTTTRCTCACTGTGACTTTGTTTAAATTCTTCATGATACATTTATGTTTCACAATAGTTGGGGGAGGAGGAATGTTACCAGACATTAAAGAGTTCTTGCAAATTTGGCAAAGTCAAAACACATTTAAAAATATTTTCTAATTTTGTGTTTCATCATAAAAACACATTTGTAGGTTTTAAACACAAACATATTTTCTTGTGTCATTATATTTTATAGCAAATTAATAACACTTTGTCCAGCAATGCCATTGGATAGAGCTTACAAACTAATATAGGTTGAAACACTGATA